GACTCCAAAAAAAAAAGAGCGGGGGGTGGGGGAGCCCAGGATGCAGGCGGGGCAGCTGGTGTTCCCACAGGCCTCCCTTCCTGCGGCCACCACCAGGGAGCGCCCCGGGCATCCCTTCCCACGGCTCCTGAGACCGCCTGCCACTCCCGGGGGTCCCTCCTGGTCGACTGGAGCTCCCACTCACCTCCCCAAAGTGGGGATCCCTGGGGGCACTCTTTCAGCTGTTCCGTGTGTAAAACATGCATGAAGGTGGCTCGCGCCTGTCATTCCAGCAATTTGGGAGGCAGAGGCGTGGAGACGGCCTGAGCCCAGGGGTTCGAGACCAGCCTGGACCACTTGGCCAGACCGCGTCTCTGCAATAAATCAAGAAAGGTTGGCTGGGCGTGGTGGTGCGTGCCTGTAGATCCAGCTACTTGGAAGGCTCGCCTGAGCCCGGCAGGTCGAGGCTGCGGTGGCTGTGAGCGTGCCCCTGCCCTCCAGCCTGGGCGACAGAGGGAGACCCTGGCTCCAAAAATGAAGATAAAAATGAATGTGTTATGTGGGTTCCTATAATTGTACAAGTCTCTGTGTAACAACCTACAGTGTCCCCCAGATGTGCCCACGTCCTCCCACACCACCAGGTCAGCATCATCCCAAGTTTTATGGCAATCACTCCTGTCTTCCTCTGTGGTTTGCGACCCCCCTGCACAGCCCATAACAGCATGGCAGTATGTGTTGGTCTGGGTTTGTTGTTGTTTGTATAGATGTATTCGCAGCTGTGTCTGGACCAGACTCCTGTGGCCAGAGCTGGAACTTACCCCTTATTCCTCTTTTTTTTTTTCTTTTTGAATTGGAGTCTCACTCTGTCGCCCAGGCTGGAGTGCGGTGGCACGCACACAGCCACCGCAGCCTCAACCTGCTGGGCTCAGGCGAGCCTTCCATCTCAGCTTTCCAGGTAGCTGGAACTATAGGTGCATGCCACCACACCCGGTTAATTTTTTATTTCTTGTAGAGACGAGGTCTCACCAAGTTGCCCAGGCTGGTCTCAAGCTTAGGCAATCTTCTCGCCTCGGCCTCCCAAAGTGCTGGGATTACAGGCTTGAGGCACCATGCCCGGCCTGTTTTTGTTTTTATTTAATTTTTTTTTTTTGAGTTAGAGTCTCACTCTGTCACCCAGGCTGAAGGACAGTGGCATGCTCAGCTGCTGGTCTCAGGTGATCCTTCCACCTCAGCCCTCCAAGTAGCCGGAACCACAGGCATGTGCCACCATGCTCAGCTAAACTTTTTTTTGATTTACTGTAGAGACGAGGCCGCGCCAAGTCACC